AGGCAGCATGTGGGTGTGCAGGCAGCATGTGCAGGCAGCATGTGGGCGTGTGGGCAGCATGTGCGTGTGCGGGCAGCATGTGGGCGTGTGGGCAACGTGTGGTTAGGGCAGCTTGTGGGTGTGCGGGCGACGTGTGGTTAGGGCAGTGTGCGGGCAGCATGTGTGTGTCCTGTAGCAGAGAAGATGTGACTGGGGAAGAGGGACGCAAGGGGGCACAGGTGTGTGGGTCCTGGGTGGGTCGTGCCTGCAGGTGGGCAGGAGAGTGGGGGAGCTGGACCTTGGGGTGCATAGTCAGGGAAGGAAGAGGGAGGAGAAGAGGGTGGAAGCCAGTCGTGGTCAGGTGTGTGCTGCTCTGGATGGGGAGGAGGAGGCTGGGGTGAGGCTGGAGTTACCGTGTGGACCACCTGGGCCAGGATCATGAAGCAGCCCAGCTGCACGCTCCAAGGACTCAATGCTGTCACCCATGATCACTGCACCCAGCCCAGTTCACCGTTTCTGTTCCCTTCCCACCCTCCTTTTGTCCGTGGCACATAAAGTCCTTGCTCAGTTCTGAGTCACAGCCAGCATCTTCTGCAGGGACAGGGTCTTGGTGAGAAGGGATCTCTGTCTCAGGTCCCCATTGTGTCCTGAGGGGTTCATTGTCCTGGTCATTCTTGTGCGTGGCTCAGCGAGACACTGCTGGAAGCTGCTCCTCCTGGCTCCCTCCCGTCTGTGCGCTGCTGTGAAGGGCATGGCCCTCAGGACCTGGCCCTGCCCCTTCACCGGGTCCCCCAGGCTCTTTATCACTCTAGCACCACAGCGGCCTCTTCCCCCAGCTGGAGTTCTCCTGGCAGAGCCCCTGTTTCTGCTGCTGACTCTGTGCCCCTCCCGCAGGCTGTCTTGTCAGCCTTCACGTTGCTCAAGCTGCTGCTGAACTGTCCGCTGCAGGGAGAGAAAGCAAGTCTGCTGTGGCACGCGTGTCCCCACATCATCATGGCTCTCGCGGTGAGTCCCTCCCCTGGCCCCTGTCGTCTGGTGCTGTGCAGACCGTGTTTCTGGAGCTGCTTCCTGGAGACGGCCGTGAGTGGGACGCGGGGTTGCTGTCCTTCCTGGGCACACTGGTGTCGGCAGCTTGAGGCCATGGTGTGGGGGTGTGAAGGGATGTTTGGGCATCAGAAGCACGAGCTAGGCCACGGTAAGCAGAGTGTGTTGCAGTGTGGCCCACGAGGACTGTCGGGGCAAGACGAGGAGGGATTCTGGGCCTTCTCTGTCCCCACAGGACATCGTGGTCAGTGTAGCACATTGGTTTACTCGGGAGCATGGGTGTGCGTGCCTCGGGCCTGGCGCTTCGCAGACTGGGGTGGCCGTGCTGCAGGTAGAGGGTGGTGTCGTGACACCCGAATGTTAGGTTTGTGTCTCGAGGGCTCTCGGCTTCTTGTTTCACTAGAGCCAAAGCAGCCCAGGTTGGGGGGCTGTCTCGGGGTTCTGCCCCTCACAAGCCTGACCTGCACATTCTCACGCCTGCGTGCAAAGGCGTCACGTCTGTCGTACGCTCCTCAGCCCTAACGCTGGCTTCTGTCACTGAGAAAATTGCCCTGGATTAGCACATTCCCAGGGCAAAAGAATCTAAAAAGCAGTCTTGATGTTCTGAAGAAAACAGTAGTCTTGTTTTCTTTTCTTTTTTTTTTTTTGAAGATGACCGGTAAGGGGATCTCAACCCTTGACTTAGTGTTGTCAGCACCACGCTCAGCCAGTGAGCGAACCGGCCATCCCTATATGGGATCCGAACCCGGGGCCTTGGTGTTATCAGCACCGCACTCTCCCGAGTGAGCCACGGGCCGGCCCCTGTCCCGTTTTCAATTCTGCTGCTTCGACGTTATCCTGAGGATAACTCGTGTTAGTGGCTGAGGCGGGTCAAGTCCCCGAGTGTGCAGCGAGCGTTAGGGGATGCGGGCTGGGCGCCGGGGACTGGCTGGCATCCGCGCGGGTGCGGGGCAAGGCCTGGCAAGAGGCCACGCAGCCAGCACACCCCGCAGATGGAGGGCGTTAGAGACAGAACCCAGAGGGCCTCACAGAGGCTCGGTGTCTGGGCAGGAGTCACAGGTGGCTGTCGCAGCTCACATAGGCAGGACTGCGCTGTCCCTCATTTTGAGTCTGCTCTCTTTATCTTCCAGATGAAAATTGAACAGCTTCAACTAGAGCTGATTTGTAAGAGGCTTAACAAGTGATGTTCAGTGACAGACACGCAGAACTAAAGCTCAGAGTGCTGTGCTGCATGTCTCACGTGTGGCTTCCTCGTGCCGAGAAGCTGGACGAATCGCCTTGTGTCGGGGCTGCCTGTTGACAGCACCAGCTCATTTTGGAGCCTGGACCTTCTCACCTCCGTGGTGGTCGGGCCCATCCTGGCCGTGCTGGCTGTGCTGCTGCAGCAGGGGGAGGAGGCCGTCAGCAACCCCCACCACGTCAGCCGGGCCCTCAGCGTCCTGCTGGCCGTCCCTCTGCAGCACCTGAAGCCCCCCGGGGTACGGCAGTGTCTTTCCCAGGGTGCACGGCATGCTGTTCTACATCCTGCAGTGCCACCCCAAGGTGCAAACACAGCCATGGGGTCTGCAGTTGTGGATTCAACCAACTACCTGTTGACAATATTCAGGAAAAAAACCAACAATAGAAAAAAATAAAAAATAATGCAACTATGAAAAACGATACAAAATAACAACTATTTGTATAGCATTTACATGGTATTAGGTTATTACAAGTAATCTAGAGACATTTAAAGTACACGGAGGTATGTGTATAGTTTAGGTGCAAATACTACAGCATTTCACGTAAGGAACTTGTGCATCCACTGATTTTGGCATCCGCAGGGATCCTGGAACCGTCCCCAAGGGCACTTGGTTTGTAGTGATTTGTTAAGTTTGGTTCCAGTAATTTCCAGGGCCAAAGTGGTTTCCCAAGCACAGAAGTGCTTAACCTCCCAGCGGGCTGCTCGAGTGAGTCCATCTTTGTGGGATCTGACACAGTAGTGTCCGTGTGCTGCTATTTAAGGAAGCCCCTTAGAGATGTTTCTGTTTTGCAGATCATGTGTTTAAACAAGTCCCTCACTTGCTTAGCTCTCTTGCTGGGCCTATAACTCAGATGGACGTAGGGAGGGGCAGCCTGAGGTCCTTAGTTACACCGAGACGAGGAGGCGTGTCCCACGGATCGGACTGCAGTTCAGCTAACATTTACTGAATGTTTGCTGTGTGTCTTGCCCCTGCAGCGAGGCTGTGAAGGGGGTGGTGGCCCCACTAAGTGACACGACCAGTGTCACTGAGCTGTGTCTTTGACCCGTGTTCTCACGGCCAGTGAGTAGGGACCCACAAATACATGTACACACACACAGGCACGCTCAGATATTTTTAAGTGTTTGTGTTCTAAGGATAGAGATCTGCTGGCAATGAAGTTTTTAAGAAAAATGTCCTCTGGCAGACGAGACACTCGTGCAGTCAGCCCCCTCCAAAGCCCGCCCGAGCTACAGGCACTTTTGGCCCATCTTGTCAGCATCTTTTTATCACATCTCTGTGCTGATCGTTAGGTTTTTACGGGACCGTGCGGTGTAAACGTAACACACATCAGTTACACACTGAAATTGCAGATCTTATGAAAGACGCAGGATTTCATGACGTCGGTGAAAATTGCATTAGAGAGCTGCTTGAGGAGCTGGCTGGTTAGCTCAGTTCGTTGGGCATGGTGGCATGGTGCTGATAACACCAACGTCCAGGAGGTCCAGGGTTCGATCCCTGTACCACCCAGTCGCCAAAAAAAAGAAAAAAGCTGCTCGAATCTCCTACAAAACCATGAACAAGTTACCCTTTTGTGGAATTAGATCACAATGAATTTCAGTAAAGACCGATGTGACTAATAGTAGCAGCTCACACTCACCTGTCACATGTGGGACTGAGGTGGAAGCCCACGAGTGCTCACCTGTCGATGGTGTGCATAGTAGGTCCACTTTGGTATGAACACTGGCTAGAATCTAAAGGGTGTAGCACAAAGTCACATGGCCAGAACGGTCCGCAGCTGATGCATTCTGAACACCATGTGTTTCAACCTTTTCAACCCTTGTGACAACCTGTTGTCGTCCTTACTTTGCGGATGAAGAAACCGAGGTGCACACACAAGGCAGATGATTTGTTCAAGGTCGTGTAAGGCTGCAGAGTGTGAACCCAGACAGCCTGGTCCCGGGGTTGTGTGCTTTTCACCAATGTGATGGCGGAGGACGAAGAGAGGGCCTGGGGATGTGGTGGAGCTCTGGGACGCTTTTGCAAACACGACCTCTTTCTGAACATGCTTCAACATTGATAATTTGATGGGGAGGGTGTAGTATTATGCTATTGAGAATTTCGTTGCATAAATGATAGCAAAGACAGTAATCCCAACACCGATCTACAGCTTGTTCCTTCTAAGAATCAGAGCAGCGCTGTCTAGTCGAATGTTCAGCGGCCGCGGGCGTGCGCCGTGTCTGCACCGTCCAGCCCCGCATCTGCTGGCTGCGGGTGTCCTGACCGCTTGAGGTGCAGCCCCTGTGATTAGGAACTGGATATCTGATTTTACTTTTTTCTAACTACCTGTCACTGTCCGAAGTGTCTGCTCACGTGTGGTCCGTGGCTGCTCTGCTGGACAGTGTGGTTGAATGTAAAAGCAGCATGTTTTCTCATTTCAGTCTCATTTTTCGAGATGAGTCCCAAGCAGACTTTCCATCACCGTCAGTTGGGACGTTTTGGTCCCCATTTTAAGTGAGTTTGCTTTATGGAGTCTTTTTTCTCGTACCAACTGTACATGAAATAAATAGTTGCTGTTGGTTAGTCTTAGTATTGATTTCTACCCATTTCCAGAATGGATTAGAACCAGCTTAGAGTAAAAGGCACAGATTCAGCAAATTCTTTTTTTAAATTATTTTTCTTTATTATTAGCAAATTCACTATTACAAATCATGATTTTTCTTTATGCCCTTTACTCGACCTGTCGCTCCCCAAACCCCCTCTCTCCCTCCCCTCCATCTCTAGTATCCTTAGGTTTGTTCTCTCCTTCTGAAAGTTCAATGCAATCTTGTGGTTCATTCTTTCTTTTCTTTTCTTTTTCTTCCTTCCCTCCACCCTTCCTTCCTTTCTTCCTTTCTTCTAGCAAATTCTAAGCCAGGATTGCCCCATAGATCGCTGAGTCGTGCAGTGTGGAATCGCCACCCGACAGTCAAACCAGGACTGAAGAGTCGATTGGGAGGTGGGTGAGCAGCCACGCTGTGTCCATGCAGGACACGACTGCCACGGGCCACAGGGTCGGCTGGTGCCTCCTGATGGACAGGGCTGCGCAGGGAGCTAGAACGAAAGCCTCTGCAGAGGAGAACTGANAACTGTTTTAATAGATTGGTGTTCTCAGCTATGCATGGGGGGTGGCAGAGAGATGCAGGTGACCCAGAGGAACGGTATCAGATGTGTTTTCCACAGTCTAGTATCCTTAGGTTTGTTCTCTCCTTCTGAAAGTTCAATGCAATCTTGTGGTTCATTCTTTCTTTTCTTTTCTTTTTCTTCCTTCCCTCCACCCTTCCTTCCTTTCTTCCTTTCTTCTAGCAAATTCTAAGCCAGGATTGCCCCATAGATCGCTGAGTCGTGCAGTGTGGAATCGCCACCCGACAGTCAAACCAGGACTGAAGAGTCGATTGGGAGGTGGGTGAGCAGCCACGCTGTGTCCATGCAGGACACGACTGCCACGGGCCACAGGGTCGGCTGGTGCCTCCTGATGGACAGGGCTGCGCAGGGAGCTAGAACGAAAGCCTCTGCAGAGGAGAACTGATGGTGGCTCGCGTGCTGCTGTAATCCTCTTGTCTTCTGTTGCAGGTGATGCTGAAGCCATCCTGTCCTTCCTCAACTGTTTTAATAGATTGGTGTTCTCAGCTATGCATGGGGGGTGGCAGAGAGATGCAGGTGACCCAGAGGAACGGTATCAGATGTGTTTTCCACAGTTTCACGTGTATTTACCCTGCGGCGTCTCTGGCCACATATGGCCCTGCAAATAAAGCTATTCGGTCAAGTTTAAATTGGAGAAGTGTTCGGATCATCAAATGAATATTCAAAGTAATTATTCTTAATTTCAAACTGTCACATTTTGCCATATCCAAAACTGCAGGTACATCTGGCATCATCTAATTGAAATTCTGGGGGGAAAAGTATCGAGATTTAAGGAATATTTATTGATATTGAGCATATATACCATATAAAGGGGATATAAAAATGACTGCAACCCCATTCCTGCCCTTAAGGAGTTGACAGTTTAACTGGACGAGAAGGAACCGGCAGGTGGAAGCCGTCTCCTGTCATGAGAGCTCCGGTTCCAGCCTGATCTTGGCAAGGTCGTGTTACCAGTGAAACACAAGCTGCCGTGCAGCAACAGCATATGTACCACTCCACTTCTGTTGTTTATAACAAAATGCGTGCAACTTGGCGATTTATAAGAAAGCAAAATTTGAGCCTGGAAAGTCCAAAGTCCAGGAAACACACGGGGTGAGGGTCTTCTTTGGTAATGGCTTTACAGCAATGCAGGGGTCTCACATGACAGAAAGTGGCAGAACAGACAGAGTCTGCACGCCCCTGACCACCATTATTAATCCATTCACTGCAGCGTGGTCCTGTAATCTCATCACCTTCCCAAAGCCCCACCTCTCCATGACCGTAGTAGGGTTTCCCACACTCTACACAGTCACAGTGGGGCCAAGTTTCTAATATGTAAAACTTGGGGGTCACAATTCAAGCTTCAGTGAGTTTCAATCCACTCCATTCTATCCCTAGCCCCCCACAACTCAAGTCCTTTTCAAATGCAAATACAATCATTTCATCTCCAAAGTCTCAACTTGTTTCAACTCAAAAGTCCAAAGTCCAAAGTCCTATCTGTGAATTAAAAACAAGTTATCTACTTCCAAGATACAGTGGTGGGACAAACATAGGGTACGTATTCCCATTCCAAAAGGGAGAAATAGGTCAAAAGAAAGGGGCAACATGTTGTAAGCAAGTCTGAAACCCAGCAGGGCAGGCATTAAATCTTACAGCTGGTGAATCATGTACCTTGACTCCATGTTCAATGTCCTCTGCAGGCTGGTGTAGGGGTTGAGTCCCCACGTCCTCAGGCAACTCTGCTCCTATGGCTTTCCTGGTCGCAGGTGATACTTCAACTCTCACAGGCTGGCATTGCACGCTGGTAGCTGTACAGTTCTGGTGTCTCTATGGTGGTCCTGCTCCCATGGCTCCACTAGGCATGGACTTGGTGGGGTTTTTCTGCTGCAACTCCAACCCCACATTTCCTCTCAACATTGCTCTAGCAAAGGCTCCATATGGTGACTTTGCTCTTGTGACAGATCTCTTCCTGGGTCCCCAGGCTTTTCCATACATCCTTTGAAATTAGGGTGGAGGCTCCCAAGCCATCAGAGCCCTGGCATTCTACAAGCCTGCAGACCTAACACCTTGTGGATGCCACCAAGTCTTCCAGCTTGTGTCTTCCAAAGCTACGGGTCCAGCCACACCTGGGGCAAATTTCCTTTGTTTTGTAGAGAAATATTTAGACATATCTTTTCTCCCTTATCATATCAGCAAAATAAGCCAATTAACGAGTCTGAAAATGATAGAAGGCTTGAGATCATCTCCATCTGTGTTAAAGGTACAAAACTGGAAGAGTTAGGACGCGCTGTTGTGGAACTGATCAGCGGGGCACTCTGCTCTCTGTAGGAAGCACGGATGACCTGCCCATCGTCGTGGAGTGCGCGTGCCCGGTGGAAGGGATGTACAGCCACATCGGTGCATGAACCGAGGACCTCACCGTGTTTTCCCCTTGTATGGTGGCCCAGTACGTGACGGAGGTGCAGAACGTAACACCAAGTGCTTTCGTGCGTGGTCCTTCGGCACCATTGCTACAGGGTCACTGTAAGGACCGAGTGACATGGCATGGAAGGTGCTCTGTGACCCTTGGTTCTCTCGTGCTGCAGCACACCTGGGGGCCTGTTTCAGTGCATCCCTCGAGTCATAGAATAGGGAGAAAATGCTACCCAGACGCAAGGACCGGAGCTCTCATGTGGCAGGGCCTCTGGAATCAGGGTCCCGAGGACCCCCGGCAGCAGGAGTGTGTGGGTCTGCACTCTGGGGTCTGTTGTCATGGAATGAGCTGAACAGACACTGAAAGAGGGAGACAAGGTGGAGGTACAGGTAGATTTGTTCAGATAGATTAAAAAAATACTTTTGTTCAAATTAATCTGATTTTTTGACTCAGTGTCATGGGTGATGGTTATTCAACAGTTTTCTCCCTTTGGAATGTCAGTGTGCTATTTTCAAATTCCTGAAGACCCTGTGACCCACGCAGAGTGCACTACAGGAATTTATAAACCTTAGCTTTGCTTCAGTTGAATGTCGTGGGCCTAAGCAAAGCCAGCCTGTCCGTGTGTGTATCTGTCTATGTGTGTGGTAGATGAACATTTGTATCGTTTTCTGTCTCTTTGTAGAATATCCACCCCCCCCCTTTGTTGAATGTCGTGGGCCTAAGCAAAGCCAGCCTGTCCGTGTGTGTATCTGTCTATGTGTGTGTGTAGATGAACATTTGTATCGTTTTCTGTCTCTTTGTAGAATATCCACCCCCCCCCTTTGCAAATCTTGTAAGAACATAGTAAAGTCACTGGTGCGTCTGTTGGGGCAGGGATGCCAGCACCTCTCAGGTGTCAGGGCTGCATGGGCTTCAGCCCTACCGTGTTTCAGGCAAGTCTGTGACAAGTGATTTCCTAGCCCACCGGCCCCGCTCAGCCTGTCCTTTGGGCAGGTGGGGACACGGGGCAGCCCGGCACGGGAGCGTATGGCTGGGTCGTGGTGTGGTGGCATGGAAGAGCTGCAGGGCATGAGCAGGAGGCCCCTTCCCGTCTCCCTTGAATGAGGTGTGGGTTCTTAGTTTGATTTCCTTGCACTTAGCATTTTAATAGAATCTCGATATCTCCCAAGCACCCGGGTCATTCATATGTAAGCTGGCATTATTTTCTGTGTTACCGAAGAATAAAATGAGACATAGTATCACTTCCCGGAGGGCCAGGAAGGCGAGCAGTAATTCAAACCCTTATGTCACTGATTATTATTCTCAGGTTACTTTAGGAAGAGTGTCTGGCTTCTGGCCTCATTATTCAAGTCTAATTTATGCTTATCAGTTATATTTTTATTTTTAATCTTGAAAACCAAGGGCCTCGGGGATTAGCGAAGGCTGTGACATCCCAGAATCCACTGGCAGCAGTCTGTGTTTTATCTTTCTTTGGTTTTTTACTTCAGTAATGCAGGGAATATTCCTCAGGCCTTAGAGGCTTCTGTGAGAGCTGTCCGTCTCTCTAGACCAGCATGTTTAAGCTTCAAGAAATTGCATCTCCCTCGTTTTTCTGCAGAGGGGCGTTGGGGGTAGGACGTGTGGGTGGTCAGGGCAGGCGACCTGTGAGGTGTGTGTGGGTCAGGAGAGACGGCCCCCTGCATGAAGCAGTGAGCCCCAGAGCAACGTGCAGGGCGCGGCAGCTGCTGTCATCCTCTCCTGCCCCCACACCCTGTGTGCAGATGTCCCTGTGGACGGCTCGGCATCAGTGGTTTGCACCAGTCTTCCTGTCTGAGGTCCGTGTGAGCCACTTAGATGTGTTCTCATTCGTTAGCCAGTGACCTCAGTGCTACAGAAATCCACTTTTTTTCTTGCTTTAAAAATAAGTCATCACGGGGCCAGCCCGTGGCTCACTCGGGAGAGTGTGGTGCTGATAACACCAAGGCCCCGGGTTCGGATCCCATATAGGGATGGCCGGTTTGCTCACTGGCTGAGCGTGGTGCTGACAACACCAGGTCAAGGGTTAAGATCCCCTTACCGGTCATCTTTAAAAAAAAAAAAAAAAAGAGTCATCTGAACCTTGAGGATGTCCTGCTGTCCCCGGCCCTTCCTCAGTCCCCAGCTCTGCTGGAGGCTGCGCGGCGGATGCAGACCACCCGGCTCAGCTCTAGAGCTGCCACGGACGAGCTGCGTGGCCCTGGGGAGTCCCAGTTTTGTTTTGTTTTTTTCTTTCCCTCCTCCTTGCTTTGCTGTGAAGTCTCAGTCAAGCCGTTACACCCTCGGTCCTTTAGTTTTCCCATCACCTGTAAAACGGTAAAATCTGAGAGGATCACCTGTCAAAAATCCTTGAACTATTATTACATGAAAAGGACCATAACTTTGAAGAATAGTATCATCTAAGTGACAGAAACAAATTGTCTCTTTAAGGACATACTTCCCAGTGTCTGCCTTCCTGAATCAGAGTTCTCCTCGTGAATACAATATGCATCATTAGTACCGTGTGTTTGCAGAGAGGCATTAATTTGTTCAGGTCACCAGGGTGTTAATAGTCAGCCAAATCCCGTGCCTGTCATGGTCCTTACCACTGCTTTTTTATGTATTGTGGTAAAATACATAGAATGTAAAATTTGCCATCTTAACCTTTTTTAAGCGTAGCGTTCAGTGGCGTTAAACACATGCCCAATGTTGTGCATCCAGCGCCACCATCGTGCCCAGAGCTCTTCAGTGCTCCTGCTGTTTGTTTCAGCCACCAGGTGTCACGCTGTTCAGCCCTGGCCCAGCTGAAACCCGAGCAGATGTGGTGGGTGGGACAGAGCTTGCCCTGTTGCCTTTCTGGGTGGACACTGGTCCGAGTCTCTGCTCTGGAAGTTGGGGTGGAGCGTCAGAGGCAGCCGGGTTGGAGCTGGCCTGTCTCCTGCTGCCGTGCCCAGCCTTGAGTCAACCGAGAACTTCAGGGAAGAAACGCATCCAGTTCAGCCATTCTGGGCCAGGGAGGAATTTAGGACCTGCTGTGCTGTGGTTGGGCAGGAATAAGAAAAGTATCTAAGTGGCAATCACAGGTCACTTCTGCTGCTGGGTGATGGGATGTGAGTCGATGGCTCATGTGGGCCTACTGATGATGAGTTTTTGTGGCGTCAGAGCCAGAGGCCCGCCTGCCTTGCACAGGGCAGGGTGGGGTCACCATCTCGCGGTGACATTGCTGCCGTGGTCCCACGGTCGCATAGCTTCCAAGGTGATCTAAAGGAGGGGATTTGACACAATGTGCAGGTGGCTGTCATTATAGGATTTTTTTTAACTTTAAAGGCCCCTGTATTCTAAATGCCCCTTAGAGCACACAAAGCTACCCTGCGAGTCTGCAGAGGTTTTTGTTTGCTTGAGTTAGCTTCTATTTACCCAAAACATAAACTTTAAAAATCTGAGTGTTCATTCACTTGAGTTAGGTGCAAAGCTGGATGTCTGTCTTTTGTCCACTTGGAGGCAAAAGTCGAAATTCCTTGTCAGTCTCCCGAGGACATCGGAGATGGGAGGTCCCCAGGTGCTCTCACAGAGGTCTGCCTTCCGCCCCAGGTGGCCCTGTCTCCAGCTGTGCGAGGCCTGCTGCAGGAGAGCGTCTGCCTCATCCCGGACCTCTGCATCGACCCTGACGTCCAGTTCCTGCGGGCCTTGCTGCC